CACTAGTACAGCTAACTTGTTCCATGTTCTTCGTTCAAACTAAGATATTGTCAGTTTGCCCAACGCTATAACCTGGTAAAATCTAACATGAAAAGCTTTAAGCGTAGAGCGGACTAGAAAAACATTTTCTTCAAAGTAAATCCACTTAAAATATACTAAGAAACTCATAAGAGGTTGTTCAACCCCTTATGAGTTTCTGATATACTTTAAACAGACCTTAAGCTCCAACATAAGCCATCCTGGGTCCAATGATTTCTTAATCCGTGGCCTAAGTTCGAATTCGTTTAAGTAACCAAGTCTTGGGTCAAGTACAGCAAAAACGAATTCCTAGCATGGAAACGTACAAGAATGAAAAGAGAACATTTTTATCGTTGTCCTTATGTTCACCATGGTGCTCACATCTGGGACGCTTTTACGCTGGAAGTAGGGCTCTAACGCTTATATTTGCGATGCTAGACTTGCATGCTGTTGAAAACCAGGCTAAGTACAAGTTAACATATCGGAACAAAAGAACAGATCGTGTAACGCATACACACACAGGCTTTATTGAGTTACTTCGCAATTCTAAATTGATCAATTTCTTAAAAAATTTCTACAAAAACAAAGGGAAAGAGGTAGCTCTAGTAGAAACAAATGAAAAAATCCTAATAAATGGCAACGTGACAGCTTAACGACAGATTTTAGCTTAGCCTAATCGGTGAGAAACACACACTTGGCTTGAGTATCCGTTGTGTTTAGGATTCACAGTGGCACGTTTCTATGGTAGAGATGTTCATGTGACGACCTCCACTTGAGATAAATGTGTGGTACTTCTTTTTCTCCGATTCACATAAGGTGTCCGGCCAAAATCTGGGTGGCCATGAGGCCGGATCTCTTCTTGGTCTATTTGAAAAGAAATAAAGAGTCAATGGGTAAGTCGGTCGATTTTGTTTTTCATAAAACCAACATGAAGTGACTGTAGATTTCAAGGTCAGCCTTTTATTAATCATTTGTAATGATTTTGTGGCGTCTGTGCTTCGCTTGAATGAAAAAGGCATACCCTACTGAAGTGATATGCCTGTGAGTGTGTCATCGGAGCTCGTTTGGCTAAGCAGTGTATGAGGAAAAAAAGGTCTGCGCAATGTAATGCTTGTTTTACGATTAAGTGATACATACAGAGAGTAGGAAATAAAAATGGATAAATGGCATGTACATTACTCAAAGGGCTGGGATCGTGTCTATGAGTGCTTATTTAGCTTAAAGTGCATATAACCCCAAATTTGTTAAACTGAATAACAGACTATTAAAGCTAGAATAATAATAAAAAAAACTTGTAATAAACGAGGCCACAGATTGTTCACGATTTTAGATAAATCTCCTTTTTTTACAGATTGCTAAATATGTAGAATTGATATCTTAGGGACTGGTCAAAAAGTATAGGGGAGGGGGGGGGTGGGCCGGAGCAGAGAGGGGGTGGGTCATGAGGTTTTGAGCCTTGTGCAAGGGGTGGGTCATGCAATTTTCAGCTACCCTTAGGGGGTGGGTCACCCTATTTTTTACTAACTACTAACAAGACAGTTGACTACTCTCATTATATAAAACAAAGCCAACTGGAATTATTGCTAAAATACTCACAAACCTGTTGTGCGAGAAAATACAAAGGTTGACAGGCCGCACATCTATACAGGGGTGGAACCCTCTGTGACCCGTTTTTCTTCTTTTTTGTAAGGAAATGATTGGTGGTTCTTAAAAATTTATTGAAGTTATAGTTGGTTTTGTATAAGATTCCATTTTTTCATTCAAGCTTCCTTTATAGTAGGCACTGAGGCTGGTATTGTGTCACAAATGGCAATATTTCTTTTTCCTCCTTGTTGTTTTGTTTTAGGAGTTTAGACTCCCTTTTGTGAATTTTACTTCTGATAGTAGGTTTTCTATCAAAGATAGGGGGCACCCAACGAGAATACTCTTCAAAACCAATTTAAACAGTAGATATAGGCATATTTTTATCCCCTAAAAATTTTCCATCTGTTCGGATCTCCTAGCTGAAAGTCTAGTGATACGAAAATTATAGGGATCAAAAAATGAGCAATTATACCGTTTTTTTAGATGTTTGAAAATCCTAGGAGGGGCAGACAAACAAGAAGTTTTACAACAAATGTTCCGAAAATTCTAGATCTCAAATCGTCTCTCGAACAGATATTTTCCGAAAATTGACGTTGGGTGCCCCTGAAAGATTGTGGGTAGCCTCCGTCCATCAAGCGTTTTTTTTTTAAATTTGAATTATTTTCGTCAAAGGTTGTTTCTGAGGAGTTTTTTCGTAGGAGTCTTAAGGCTTCTCCTTTGACAAATTCTTTTTTCAACATTTGGAGGGTGACACGAAGTGAAATGTGTGTGGAAGAAGCTTTCCGTTTGTTTAAAATGTGTCTTTGCATCAAGGATAGATTTTTCCTTGAATCTTGTGCCTTTGTATACAACCGTGTCTAAAAACGCAGTCTCAGTGTCAAATGTTTCGGCCGTGAATTCATTAGTTGGGTGATGTAAGCTTGCTTGTTCAATGAAGGCTTCAATGTCTGGTTTACTCATGTCCCATAGGGAAAAGATATCGTGTATGTGCAGGCTGTATGTGGCATTCCCAAACTGTTGTTCTAAAGACAGTTTTGCTTAGAGCTGTTGTTTCAATATATGTCATGAAAACATTGGCAAAGGAATCAAAACTGCTGTCTTTGTGCCCATTGCAGTTCCATGGTTTTGTAGGTNTGTGCCTTTGTATACAACCGTGTCTAAAAACGCAGTCTCAGTGTCAAATGTTTCGGCCGTGAATTCATTAGTTGGGTGATGTAAGCTTGCTTGTTCAATGAAGGCTTCAATGTCTGGTTTACTCATGTCCCATAGGGAAAAGATATCGTGTATGTGCAGGCTGTATGTGGCATTCCCAAACTGTTGTTCTAAAGACAGTTTTGCTTAGAGCTGTTGTTTCAATATATGTCATGAAAACATTGGCAAAGGAATCAAAACTGCTGTCTTTGTGCCCATTGCAGTTCCATGGTTTTGTAGGTAGTGCTTTCCACTGAAGTGGAAGAAATTTTCTTTGAGGATTAATCTAAGCATTTCCGGCAAGTAATGTGTAGGAATGGGTTGTCTTTGTTGAAATTTTCATATGCTTTGTGACAAAAAATTTCAATATACCCTCGTTTTGCTGTATATTTGTGTCAAGACTCATATTTAAACGTCCATTGAAACAAGAAATGTTCGGTTTTCCACATTCGTCTTTTCAGTGAAAGGTATGATTTCTGTGGTTTTGATATTGGTTGTAGCAGTGTATCAACAAATTTTGTCAAGCACAGAACAAGGTTTTATTGGATTATTAAGAGGAAACCGAACATCCATGTTTTAACTAGGGGGTGGGTCATGCAATTTCTAACCTTGCTTTTGGGGTGGGTCAGTCATTTTTGTGCCGAAGGGAGGGGGTGGGTCATGTGTTTTTTATCAACCACATTTCCAAATGCTCTGGCCCACCCCCCCTATACTTTTTGACCAGTCCCTTAAGCCGCGGCATTTTGGACCTAGGGCGAGTGACGTATTTTGAGGCATCCTAATCATGTCAGAGCTCCACATTGCGTAGGACTGGGTCTCTTAAAAAGTGAGTCCACACTGTTTCAGTATTCATCGCTCTTTTTCCATGTCGCTCAATTTCCCAATGTTTGGGAATTTTTCTGGAGTTATATTCTAAAGGACTGTATCCAGGTTTCAAAAAATTAGGCCCCGTCCTCACGTATCCTGATATTTTTGGATCCGCAACTTTTTCTTTGCGAATTTGTCTTCCGTCCACACGTATCCAGTGTATCCGCCTTACGAATCCGCAGCCTTTTGGATCCGCTCTCCAGATGTGGGAATGTTTGAATCCGCTAAGAATCCGGAATCGTGTGGACGCTAAACCCGGATATTTTTTTATCCAGTGACGCCACAAGATCGAGCCCAGTTCTTTACCGTGAATATTCAAGACGGTGCCGAGCGCATTCATTATACGTTTCTGGGAAACTGCCCACCTACCCCTCCCCTAATCCAACATTAACGCTAACTTCTCACTTAGCAAAATGTTGGCTTAGGCGCTAGGGGAGGGGTATCGGCGCAATGTTATCGCTTATTTACATTTGGACTTCAGGGTTGAAATGAGGTCCACAGTGGGCTAAAATAATTCTTTCATAATGTTGGTTCAGTTAAAATTGTGCTCAGTTGGTATGACATAAGGGCCGCGAATCGGTTTTCATTGTTCGTTTTTTTTCTTCACGAATGAATATTTGTTATTCGTTATTAAAATTTAAAAAAAAAATTACGGGAAAGTAAATTTGGAATTTTCACTTGAGTTTGGCTTTGGAACCTCCATGTATCACAATTGACTCACCCATCACGATTCTTGTAGGAGGGGCAGGAGTCTTCATAGACGCATTTACCCATGTCCACCAACTGAAAAGAAAAAGACGTGTATTTATTTTATATTAAAGAAAAAACTCTATTACTAAAAGTTAAGTTACGCATTGACACTAGACGTTAGACTAAAACAGAGAAAGCTAAGAAGTGATTGCCATTAAAACACCATAGTATTATAAATAGGCTACTTGCGAGTTCCACAAAATCTCACTTTCAAAACGAGGCTAAGTTCAAAACCTTTCTAGTGAAAATGAGTTATATTTGCATGAGAATAAATAAATCATTTTCACCCCAATGAAAGGAAACAGAGACTTGCGGCAACTCGGAAATGTTCTTAGCTCTTATGCATGTTTTCGTCAGAGGAGCAAATTTCACCACAGTTTGAGATTTTAAAGTTGCGAAGACAGTTTGCATTAATGCATTCCCGATCCAAGGCAGTAGAGTTAAAAAGAATGCTCACGCACAACGAGTGACAGTAAGAAGAATTATGCTTACAAACGAGTGGTGAAATTTCCTCTTCTGACGTGATCAATGTGGAGGGCCATTCTTGCCGGTTGGAGCGACTAAATTTGGTTGTTGTTTGTTCTATACTTTATAATTTGGCAGTTAAACGACTACCTTTTATTTTTCCCATCCATCTTGAATCATTTTAAATGTTTCACTTTATTTCCATCATTGTAAAACACATGAGGTCGTCAGATTTGTTTCGGTTCACCTTTTTTTCCGCGGTCAATATTTTTTGGCCTTTTCACGGCTGACGATAATAAGCTTCTCGTGTTTCTCAAGTTGCCGTTTGTAAAAAAAAAAAAAACAAAAAAAAAACAGATTATTAAAACATGTTAAATACTCTTATTCGANACGAGGCTAAGTTCAAAACCTTTCTAGTGAAAATGAGTTATATTTGCATGAGAATAAATAAATCATTTTCACCCCAATGAAAGGAAACAGAGACTTGCGGCAACTCGGAAATGTTCTTAGCTCTTATGCATGTTTTCGTCAGAGGAGCAAATTTCACCACAGTTTGAGATTTTAAAGTTGCGAAGACAGTTTGCATTAATGCATTCCCGATCCAAGGCAGTAGAGTTAAAAAGAATGCTCACGCACAACGAGTGACAGTAAGAAGAATTATGCTTACAAACGAGTGGTGAAATTTCCTCTTCTGACGTGATCAATGTGGAGGGCCATTCTTGCCGGTTGGAGCGACTAAATTTGGTTGTTGTTTGTTCTATACTTTATAATTTGGCAGTTAAACGACTACCTTTTATTTTTCCCATCCATCTTGAATCATTTTAAATGTTTCACTTTATTTCCATCATTGTAAAACACATGAGGTCGTCAGATTTGTTTCGGTTCACCTTTTTTTCCGCGGTCAATATTTTTTGGCCTTTTCACGGCTGACGATAATAAGCTTCTCGTGTTTCTCAAGTTGCCGTTTGAAAAAAAAAAAAAAACAAAAAAAAAACAGATTATTAAAACATGTTAAATACTCTTATTCGATGCATCATTGATATTAACGCTGTTTATAAACCTTAGTCCTGGTAGCCATCTTTCCTTTACCATCAGGGTATTGTTCAAGAAACGCTTCAAAATGTGTTGCTCTGTAGCAGTATGGTTTCACGCATGAGCACTGCTTTATGACTGGAATGCTTCGTATACCTTTGAAAGACAAATTATAACAACTACCATCGTTAAAGATCGAGAAAATAACGTTATAGTTTTGACGAGAGGGTGTAAAATGGGCGGCTTCAATTTCTAGCTATAAAGAAGATTAGTTCGTCCGAGTTTCCATCGGAGTGAAAAGCTGTTGTACTTTTGGCAACCAAGACGGCGGCCACCATGACGTCATCTGTAAACCAGCAATAAAAAGTACCGAGGGACTGGGACGGGAGTGCGTTATGTTAGGATACGGATCATGTCGGATACATGTAACTATAACTGGGGTGGAGGAGTGTTTGCTATATCGAGGTTTTACTGTACGTGCTTGATTTACTCACCATTTGGACTGCGTATGGCTTCTGTTTCATTCATGACAGATTTGCAAGCGAAGCCCTCTTGACAGCCTCCCCCACAAATGCCCACATCGATGCTCTTGCTATACTTGGTTCCCGGATAATACGTGACTGTATGTGGCAGGCGCATACAACTATTCGGCACTTTCTGACATGCACGAATTGTATCTTTTATAATCACATGCTGATTATACACCAAGATACGTTCCTCTGTGGTGCTTTGTGGGATACAGCTGTTGCCGGTTTTATTAGTTCGGTCTGGAGCCGGAGGCTAATTTAAAAAAAAAGGTTACAAATGCAGTACTTGAGAAAGTAACATGGTCAAGTCAAGTCAAGTCAGGTCAAGTCAACTTTACTTAGGCAGGCTAGCCCTATCAGCCATTGGCTGGTATCAAAAGGGGCCTTGCGTAAATTATAACTACATGATAAACATTGGAAAATTAAAAATTACTTTAAAATTATGTACAAGGATTATAAAAAATTCCTAAAAGGGAAATCACATATCATCATAATTTGTTTAAGATCAAGAAAAATAAGAGAGCTGTCGAAGTTACCTAAAAATTATGGTGCTTACAAACGTTCCACTTTGTTAAGACTGTTGACAGACAAAGCCCGCTGATACCTACTTTACCTCTCCCAGGGGAGTGGTTCGCATTTTACTGTGACGGGGATGATCGAATGGAGCAAAAATCGGGGTTAAAAAAATCCCAGGACCAAAACCTAAACCTCATACTTAAAAAGCAACTTAACCAAATTTTGGCAACCAGTTTTTGAAATAGTTATAAATATAGATAGACTTAAGTTGTTCGGTCGTGTCAATTATCTCGCGACCTCCCTCTCCGCAGTTCAGCGCTCTAACGCCGAGCTACTGCTGCGTTTACTAATCAAGCAAGTCACAAATTTGGCTCACAACAGGAAATAGACTTATTTACCACGAAACTGTATGTACTATGTGGAATTACGGATGAAAGAGAGCACTTAACGACATTTGATATAGTTCACTACCTGTTGAGTTACTTCCTTGCATTCACCCACATCATGTGTAATGAACCGCGCCTCTGCCCTAACTAAAATGGACCAAAAAAACGGTAAGTGATGTCATAAGGGTTTCGTGGGAGACAAGGAAAAACGAGGGCTCGTGTTGCAAAGACATGTCAAAGCAACGCGTGTTAGCAACAAAATCTCGTGCAGTACACACACAGGGACAGGCAACAGGAACGTATAGCAGGGGCAAAATCACGTGCAGTACACACCCTGGGACAAGTAAAAAGGAACGAAAAGCAGGGGCAGAATCACGTGCAGTACTCACTCAGGGACACGTGACAGGGACGTATGGCAGGGACAAAATCACTTGCTTTACACACACAGGGACAAGTAAAAAGAAACGTAAAGTAGGGGCAAAATCACGTGCAGTACACACACGGACACATTGCATACAGACATGGAAAGTACCAAGTCTTCGACAGGAAATCAAGCATAGACCTTTTCCGCATTGCTGTAAACACAGTCGAAGGCACAAACTCTGGACATAAACTCGATATCTGATGAACTTTTTTTCTCGTCTTCATTCACTTGTAATTGTGTGTGCTCACTGGGATGAAATGCGGGAAGGGTTTTTTAATCAGACAGAAAACTTACCAAAACCAATCACAACATCCTTTGGAAAACGCTGGCAAACGGTGTCATTAGAGGATTGCAGTCTATAGAAGAGAAAATAGGTCTGTTGCTGTCACTACTACCATTATTGTTCTTGAAACGAAGCGCTTTTGAAATGCAATTTCAATTGGCAATCATAGTTTAAATCTCTTTAAAAACGAGTGTGAAAACATTGCTAGAAAGAGGGATTTGATAAGGATTAATTGAGGTGCTCTATGTAAATATATTTTGTTTTACATTTACAAATGAGCCATATTCTGTAGAAACCATTCGATCTAGATTCCCTTAAAATTTGATTTTCTCGAGATTAAATGTCTTTTGAACGGATCCTCTGATAATTGCACCTTGCTCTTGACGATACAATCTTCCTGAATCTAGAAGGCACGGCCGAACTTGATCGTACACCGGCTGACTTTCCTACAAATTCAGGAGCCCAAAGTTATGTTCACTGCCGGAAGGTTTCCTATCGATATGCAAGCCAAGGCTCGACAAAGCAAGGTGGCCCGTGGGTAGCCTGTGTAGCAAGCGTTTCCGTGCGCAAAAACTCTTCTTTTCTTCTTTAATTTGTTCTCGTTCCAGTTTTCGCGCATTAACTCGAGCGGAAACGCTAGCCCATGAGACAGATCAAGTATCATGACGTAATCAACTCAGTAAACCTAAAGTGATTCGTGGAATCCGAGACCAGAGCAAATGCAAAAACAAAAGATATAAACTCCCGCAGTTGAAAGCATTGATTACACTAAACAACCTTTTTCATTTTTGTTTTCTTTAGATCGATAAATTATCAAGATTCGTTCAAGCAATGGGGGGAAAGAAAGATTGTTTTCTCTGGTTTTCGTAGCTATTTATAATCTGTCTGTCTTTTAGTGAATTTAATGCCTAGCCTTGAAATTAAATGAGCTTAAATGAAAAGCTGTCTTAGGCCTTTGACCCTGTTCAGACAGAAGCAGTTATATTTACGAGTTGTATTTGCATGTCCAAGATTGGAGCTCATCCTTTCCATAATCTCATTAAGAAGCAGTACGTTAATTTCATTTTCAGTACGTAGTATATTTCTGAGGCCAGGATTAGTTGTAGCTGAATTCCAGTGTGTTCCTATAGTAGATGATTTTGAACACTCTTTTCTTTAATTAACCTGTCATTTGACAAATTTATGTTGAAAATATTAAAGTAACTATTATTAAGCTTGCAATACAGCTGCCTTTCATCGCTCGCCGTCCATAGTCTAGACTAAAATCTTCAATCAATTTATCAGTTTTTTGGAAGATGGTACCCCATTGTAGTTTTAAACTCTCTGATTTCTATACCCATCCCAGACTAACCTTCACAGCGGCACATATCTATATACATATCCCATGTATGGCGGTATGGTCCTCCGGGATTTTGCCTTTCGGGAATCTACAGCCCCCAGCAGCCCAAGAATGTGCGCCCATGTTAAGGTCTTCTTCTCGTAAATAGCCGAAGATTTCTGAACAGCTGTCATCATCAGGGGTAGATCCAGAAAATTCAGAAAAAGTGGTCTAGGCTTGTGGTGTACCAGCTTTTTAGAAACAGATGTTTGTTTAAAGAACTCTCACACGGCGTTTTTCCCCAAAATTAAGGCTCTGGAAGACGCAGCTTCGAAAGAATTCTTTAGAAATTGAACAGAATTAAAGGGGCTGTGTCGCGGCAGTCCAGTTTATTTTGTTTAATTTTGCCAATCACTCGCCCTCAATCGTTATGGAACTTAAAGTAAGCAAAGAAATTACACGTAAATGACAAAATCAGAGATCCGAGACAAACAAATATGTCTCCTGAGCATTATTTTTGAAGTTGCAAGCAGCAGGGGCTGAACAGTTTTCAAAAACCCTAATTTCAACCCGTTTCAATCTTCTTCAGTTTTGCCCATCCGTGGCATCTGTTGTTTCTGTTATGTTATTTTAACCTTCCTTTAAAGTTTTAAGCGGTTATTTTCATGTTTCTCTTAATTTAACGGGCATTTTGTAATTTCCTAATTTGGCTGAATTTCGTATGCACTCTCCGCTAAATTAGTCTGTGATTATACGCTCATACAGCGGCTGCGACTCTGATAGAGAGAAACACACAGGAAGCAGGCAACAAGCAGACATCTGAGGCTTAGCGACTGGTTAAGGTTTAAAAGAAAGTATCAGGTTTACGTGCGAAAGTTTAAAACGATAAAGGCACCGAAGAAGAAGCGCGCAATTTAGCTGGCCGGGTACTTTCAAAACACAACATGTAGCTTTATGAATATCTGACAAAGCCCATAACACTTACCAAAGAAAACAAAATGGAGGAACATTTTACATGACAAATAAGTTCAGGTAGCAGGAAAGATTAAGCTTATCATTATGCTAAAGTTGTAACAATTTACCGTGTAAACTCGTCAGGGAAGGGTATGACAAATTTCATCGTTATTTCTACTGAAAAAAAATTTGTTCGATATTTTGAAAATGAAGGTACATTTTATTGTAAATTTAAATTTGGCCATTAGAGTAGAATACTTAAGAGAAGTGAAGAGAGAGTGAAATTCGTCTTGGACAGTGAGACCTGCCGAAAGTAAAGCTTGAAAACCAGGTCTAATCTCTCTCTATTCTGGTCGTATCTACCTGATTCAGTCATTAATTTATGATTGCCTATGCGTATTTTAACCATGGTTTCCCTATCAGTAATCTTACATACAGTGAAAATGAATGCGTCTCACCCTTTTGCACTGCAAAGTCCATAAACGATGGAGAGAGCTATGAGTGCAGCAAAAGCCTTTTTCATGGTACCTTTCCTTTCAGTGTAAAGAGGCGGGGTGTAATGAAACAAAACTGCACAAGGCACGGGATTTTGTAAGCTCTTTTTTTTAAGGTCAAAAGTTGACAAACACACAAAGTGAACGTGTCGATGTTTCAACAGAATGTTGTTCGAGAAATTTCTCAACTTCAGTTTATGTGAAACCTAATAACAAAGGAACCAAATTGCAATTTTCCGGCTTCGTTAATTGTGACCAATATAGAAAGTATATAAGTACAGATGCGTCGCTGTTATATAATGCTCAACTAGAAGAACATGTCAATGCTTAGTAATTGAATGCTTTCGGGCTGACAGTCTGGGCATGGCCTGCTCTTGGAAAGCTGATCTGGTTGAGCTTAGGATTACTAAAAAGCTCCGTTGTGATTAGCAGCAACGACCTTATCATACTGACTCTGATATTTTTTATTTTTTTTTTGAAATTAAACTGGATAATTGGTAAATGAACACAAGGCAACGCACACAAAAACAAGAATTTAGGGGATTTTAGGGGAATTCGACACACCTAGAAGGGATTTCACCAGTTATAATTACATTATATTGTTGTTGTTTTTACATTCTTTCAATGCCGGGTCAGTATGGTCCGTCGTAAATAACACTTCTAAAAAAATGTCAATCCCCAATGTGTGCAACTAGGCACTTGCTAGTTCTATTTATATAAGAACTGTTCAAGCACTTTGTCATTTGTACATGCAAACCAAAGTGAAAGTAGATGTACCGCAGCTACCCCAAGTTCTCGAGTTAAGAATCGTTGTTGAGTAAGAGAAATATTATTAGGGTTTGTTTGGGGATTTTAGCGATCGTTATTGAAAAAAATTGCTGAATAAAAGTACATAATAACACCTTGTCTCCTTGTTTTATTTTTGGTGTGTTCTTAGTATTTTCGGCCGTTTCAGCCCCATTCCAGCGAGTTTGACAATGGTTTGAGTTTTGGATACAAAAGTATAAAGATAAGATGATCGCCATCAGTATATTATAGTCTAGATATTTCTGGGAAACTATTTCAGTGATCTGATATCGAAACCAGTTTCGAAGGTATCTGTGACAAGTCACCAAGACTTCTTTTTGTTCTGCGTAGTACGGTCCATTTCTGTCTGTATTGGCGTCCTTTTAATTAATCTTTTTGCCCGAGAAGTCAGATACTGTTGTTCTTCCGGGTCTAGTATTGACTCACATTATACCATCACCACTCCTTAGAGTTGGACAGTCTCGAGGTCTCTGGTGACTTGGTAATTTGGATCGCAACGTAGGTGAATAGTAGTTCCAAATTCTGGGGGCCTTTTAGCTGACTAGTTAATTGTCTTATCTGCCTCTTCATATAATCACTGTGTCTTGATGAACAATGCCGCAGGAAATAATAATGACATTAAAGTTTTTGTTATTGTAAAACTCGTTCTTCTTCTTTTTTTTGTTATGTCCGTTAATTCGACGAGTCTCTCAAAAGCCCTCAAAGTATGTTCTGGTGAAAATGAAAGAGGTTTTTCTGTTGATTGAAAGCCCGGATTGAAAGTGCCCAAACGTCTCCGTGCGGCTTTGTTTGCGAACGCAAGGAGAGTTTATGTTAGCCAACTCATAAGTGAATACGTGATTTTACCAATTCTACACTAGCCCTTACTATTTTGGCGGTGCAATCATCATTTCAACCCTTCTCATGCAAACCTTGTAACACACCCGAAGACTCGATTAGTGACCAATTAATTTAAGTCGTACGAAACAACGATTGCAAAAATTCAGACACCTTCGATTTACGAGTAGTAGATAAACAAGGCGTTCTTTCTTAGGCTGAAGTGGTTGCAAAATGACGCCATCTTGGAAAATGTTCACCGCGTCTCGAACGGTCCGTGCACAAGCAGCAGGGTCCTCAAAAGTAAGGGTCGACAAAGTCCCTGCAAAGATTGTCGCGCTATAATCATTCCGGTTCTCAAAGTCTATTGATTTAAGAGAAAGAATGTCGAAGCTATCTTCAACTTTTTCAGTAAAATAGCTACTCGAAGGAACACTGAGTAGAAATTTCTAATGCTGTAGAAAGGCTATACACATTTCTGGATAATGGTTCTATTCGTCTAAGATATTCGAAGTTTTCCTTCTAACATACCTACGATTTTGGGGTTGTGTTTTTCACATTTAACTACCAAAATTTTACATTGTTGAAATAAAGGTCACCTAAAATGTCGGCCGTTATAATACCCGAGAATTTTCTAATGAAAGAACGGCTCTTCGACCGTCCGTGAAATTTTCGACCAAACCTATCAGGGTACCTAAATAACAGTTTCGGATGAGACGAAAAGACACCTAAAACGTGCGAGACGCAAAAAGATCCCCTAAAACTGACATCCGAACAGATAAGTTCTTAGAGCAGCTCCAAACGCATACACTGAAAACCACTTGAGACACTCTTTTGACGCATTTGGAAACATTCGGTAGTTGGGTACTCGTAAGGATAAATAAATAACGTATTGCAGACGGCATAAAACTTCACCGAGAAGACAAAATGGAATAACATTTAACGAAATAAAGTTGGCGGCAAGAAAGATTAAAAGCTTTATCATCAGTTTACATAGTATATGTTTTGGTTGTGGGTTGTTCGAGCAACTCACTCGCTGAGCGGTTCTTTTTTTGGAGTTCTTTATTCTTGTCTGAAACTAACAACGACTCGCAGCAAATCACTACTTCATCTAACTATTTTTCATGACCACTACATCTCGCTACATCTAACTTAAACTAGGCAATAATTTTCGACCTAAAGAGCTCAAACTGTCGAAATGTATAGGCTTCACTTGCTATTCACGGGAATTCTCATACAGTTTCTGTTGATCACCAAAGTGGGCGAAAACAAAACTAACGTTAATCTAAGTAAAAATGCCAAGTATAATTAATAAATAGTCACTAAAACCGAAACAGGAAGTCTGATGTAGGTCAAACCGTCAGCTGTAATTCCAAACGAGCCTAATTCAAGACACTCGAATTAATTAAACCATAAGATAAATGACACTTACATCAAAAACTTGTCAACCACATAACCTTAATCTATGAACCTAATCTTGACAAAACCCTGAGCCATCGTCCTCGATACAGCTGGGAGAACGATATATAGACCAGAAAAATCATATTGACACTAAAATCAAACACGAAAAGCAATCCGAATTTAACGTTATGAAATATAATTATTCAAATATTGAAAGCCCAAAGGGAAAATCGTAGTCAAAGAGAGGGCTGTTCTAAAGTACAATATTCAGTGCTTAAAAGAAACACTAATAAAACTGTTACAAACGGAAACTACTGTCTTATTGAATGAGGTCAGTTTAAAACTCTGACTTGTGATTCGTATAAGTCACGGAAAAACGAGTCTTGAACTAAATGATACTGGAACGCGCTTTAAGTGTCTCCTCACCACAACCACCTTATTCTCTGAGCCCTTCTGTATGGGCCTTGAAACACTCTAAGCAAATTACATGATCCCTCTTAGCAAATTACGTGGTCCCACGCCAGTCTTGAATGTGTTGAACACGTATATATAATGCTGACCGATAGCGCCAGACAGTTGTTGATCAAAAACTCAGGGGCACCGTGCCCAACGACGGTTTCCTCTTAAATGCATTGAAAACACTATTAAAACGCTACCCAG